ATGAAAGCAATAATTTCTATCCTGTCAGTGGGAAAAGGTACGCACAGATATTTATGTGTGTAACACTGCCCTCTGATAAGTCTGCACAAATAGGTAAGGCAGCATGTCCAAGGTAATTCTTCATGTCTAGAGTGTATGTGAAGTTTTAACACAGTAACATGTACGTCCCTCATTTTACTTTTTTTCAGCTCAGCATCTTAAAGACATCAATGCTCATATATTTAAAAACCACAATCCTGAAAAACTCAAAGATTCTTCCAACATAAAACGAACGCTGCCCTACCATGAGGACTTGTCAGCCGGTGGTTTGCAGTTTAAACGCTTTGTTAAACAAATCTCCAAGAAAAGGGATCCTGAAGGTGAGATTTCTGCTTCATTCATTTAAGAAAAAAATCTTAAATGCTGTGTCTTTTGTGAAATCATTGTGACTTTCTGTAGTTTCCCCACCAAAGTTCTGAGACTCTTATTTATAAGGTGTGAAACATCAAGCCCAACACAGTCCTTTATTTTAACTTCTCTAATGTTTTGGCCTGTGAAACATGAGCTGGGCGACGAGTAGATCTAACTTTACAGAGTAGTTCTGTTCAAAACTCACTTTATTTAGATTTTAACTCTAAAAATAACTCACATATAAAATTAAATAATGATCCTGGTATGAAAATGTTGTGGAAGCTGTAAAATAAATCCTGTGAACACACATGTTATGCTGTAAGTTTGTATTGCCATGGAGACCTTTCATTAAGGTGTTAGTGTGACCCAGCCTCAGTGCAGAGTTAGTGAGTGTAGCAGCAGGGATCATATGAGGTCTGATGTTTGTAAAAGAAATCATTAAATAAGAAGAGCTGGAACTTCCCAGAAACTCTCAGAAAGAGAAAGTAGAGTCAGGGTTGTTGTGAGCAACACTTTTCTCTTTCTTTTTTTTTTAAATTCTGGCTTATTGTAACACTGTCTGGTGGTTTCCTGATGTTTGTCTTTACTTTGGCAGAAGGAGATCTTTATGTCACCATTGCTGACACACTACAGAGCAATTTATACATCCAGACCTGGCGCAGCGACCCTGAAGAGAGTGGAAAACGTCCGCTTTTTAAAACTGGGAAAAAAAACGAACTAGTCACCATCATGTCAGTAAAAACTGACGCAGGTGAATGGAGTCATAAATGTGATCATTCCAAATGGTGTGTTTCTGACATTCAAAACTGGATGTGTGTTGGTGACTCAAACAGAGAACCATCCCAGTTCGAAAGGCCTGGTGGTGCACTGTGCATTAATAGCAAACCTGTGGCAGATGCATTTAGGCAAATTAAAAGGATTACTGGCACTGATAGCGTCACTAACAGTAAAACTGACTGTGACAATAACAATGTTGCTAGTCCCCGTAAAAGACCAAGATCAGGTTAACTGCAGCAGACAGCCGTCTCGGTCTTGTTTTCTATCTACGTTCACCAGTTTTGAATTTATTGTCAATTTATTTTATCAAAGTGAAGCTGATTTGAATCTGGTGCTGACATCGTCACTCTTGTCAGTGTTATCTAATGTTTCTGTGAATGATATGAAATTAAAAACATTTGATGGATATTTCACAGTGTGGTTCTTTCACCCATGGAAACCATAGAAATAAATGACTTTGCATGAATCTGTCTTGTTTTTACTCCGAGGTCCTGTTTCTGTCTGATGACGTTTAAAAGTATTCAAACTAGCCCCTACAGTCAGACATCTTTATTTTTATGGTTTAGTAGATTTTGATTTGCCAAACCAGGTTTTATATTGAGATTTTTCTTCTGTAAGAGGTCTTCTTTATTACAAAACAACAACTTTGGCACTTTTATTATTTATTTGTAAAGAAATTATTTTCACAGTTCACTTATTCATTTTTTACTACATTATTTGTTGGACTTTATGCAAATTAGTGCATATGTGATATTATAACTCGTTTTATAATAAATAAGAAGCACACAAATTAAAATATTAATGGAAATGATCGCCTGGGGAAATTAAGAGCTCATATCAGTTAAGTTTTCTTGTTTTGTCCTTTTTTTCCACTTCCACTAGGTGTTCTGTAACTTTACAGTTGATATTTGAAAGTAGAGTAACTACTAAGTAGATCTGTCTGTGTTGATGCTGAAAGATTTATAATCTGATTCTGACTGTAACTGTTAAGATGATTATTGTGCACGTGCCATTCAGGCCTTCTAACAGCAAAAGAAAGCATTGATACCGGTGGTACATACTGTCAGTATTTAGACGGTGACATGGGTTGTGTAATTTGGCCTCCTTACATCATCACAATTTTTTTTGACTCAAACACTGTGACCGGTGCAACCAATCAGAATGACTTCAGAGCGTGATCACTTTTTTATTCGTTTTATCCATTTGTAATTCATTCTTATGCTAAAAAATGCTCTCAGTATTTGGACAGTGACACATTTTTCTTTAACTTCAGAGCTCCAGCATCTCTAGTGTGAAGTAAATGATGGTCACTGTGTTAATTACACAAAGACACAAAGTTACAGTTTGGTTCAATAGTATTTAAAAAATTGCACAATTCTAAATTTTGTACAGCAACACAAAAATGTCTTTTAAGTCCAATGCTCAATAATGATGGATGTGTAGCTTTTCAGCTCTAATCCAAAGGGTATAATCAGAGTACTGTACATAGTTTTTAGGAGTTACTAATATTCTTATAGAGTATCAGATTTTCAGAGGCTTCAAAGTCGTTGGACAATTTGAAGTCTAGAAGCTGTGGACATAACAAAGTGATGCTTTCCTCACTTGAGATGCTCAGACAGGTCTCTTTACCTGCAGTTTTGTCTGAATGAGCAT